CTGAGAACTCGGAGGGGGGCCGGCTGGAGCGCTGCCTCAAAGCGGCGCTTGCCTACTGCTTGGCCCCCTTTTCACACATTTTTGGGACTTGTCGGCTTCATCCAATGAGCTGATCAAATTTTACATCCTATGTTGCCAGAGAGGATTATGGGGCAACTTCATGGTGTCGATCACATCCAGGGCGCTGATCCGGGGAGGCTGGGGGTAGAATGGAAAGACCGCAGCCCTCCTGAATAGGAAAGCAGTCTGGACCCCAGCAGTTTTGCATATCTTAGGTGCCCGAATAAAGTGTTTTCGTGGACCAAAGCACACCCTTTTCTAGAAAGGGGTGGAGTCACAGCTGGAAAAGCGCCCAGCCCCCACCACCAGCTTCTTGGGCCTCAGTTTCCCCACATGCCCAAAGAGGTCCTCAGATAAGGTTTCTGGAAAGCACTTGAAAGTCGTGATTGAGAACCTTCTTCCTGCCCCCGAAAGGCACTTCTTTGGGCCAGTTGCAAACTTACCAGATTCCAAGAGTAAGGGTCAGATAATGGTATTGATTCCCGCCCCCAGGATTCTTGTAAAGATTTTTATCATTAAAAAATAAGAAGAAAAATTATAGGGGGGGGGTCTGTGTGATCTACACTCGACTACTGAAAATCCCAAGATTGAGGGAGAAAGTGGGGGGACCCAAGCAGAATTTTCTGCTGTAGTATAAAATATAGATCCTTTTTGGAAAGTGCACCTAATTACCAACACCCTAAAAATTCTGCCTTGTTAAAACATCACAATACCGAAGTTAAGCTTTAAAAGGTATGGGAAATAACGTCTTTTCCTTGGGTTCAATAACAAATCCCTTATAACCACGCAGTCCTTTTTCAATGCAGACAATTCCAGAACAAACAGTTAAGAAAAAATTATCACTGAACATCAAAAAGGGAGGAACTAATGTAATCATTTTTAATTCAGGGAAAAAAAAGTCAGAATTTTACAGTTTCTCTTGTAGAATGTTTGGTAAGTATCCAGAAAACCTTACAAAGATAAAGGAAGCTAAATCTCCCAGCAAAATATACTTAACTCCCAAGTATGAAAAATAGTACATAAAATAAAATGATCTAATCATTAGGCTTCATCATCTTCCTTAAAAGAAATACATGTTTCTAAGTTAAATTTAAAAGAGAAAAAGAAGAAGAGAGGATTGTGCCCTTTCTCTGCAAACTGGGCTTTTTCACGATTCATTAAACCCTTTTTCCATATGTGTAATTGGACTCTTCTCATTTACATAAACGAAGGATGAGGCAAAAGACCCAAGATCAGCCCAAAAGAAGAGATATGTTTCTCATTCTCCTATGTTAAAAAATACATTGTAGAAGTAAACTCCAGGAAGCCAGACCACTTCCTCACACACACACCCATACCAGGCATGAACTACTTCATGGCCAAGGGGTCAGTACCTTTCAGGGTTGCCCTACACATGGTGCCTCGTTATTATCAGAGGCACATGTTTTTATTTTATTTTCTCTAAGTAAAAAGCTTGCACAGAAATGACTGACAGTAGTACACCATATCCTACTTTCCCTCCTCACATCTGATTTGGTTAAAACCCAAGAAGAAAGACTGCACTGTCTTTAAAGAGCACAACCCTCTGCTTGGGCATGAGTTGTCTGGCTGGTACCCTCCATTCAGTTGGTTTCAGCACCTGATTAATTAGTTAATTAGTACTTACAGCTGACTAGCCCCCGGTCGGCAATTTTCATGCCCTGCATGGTGAAATGTTGAATTCAGCATTGAAATTTCTGTCGCACACCCTAATTATTATCACCCCACTACTTTTAAAGCCATTGCACCAAATTATTATTATAGACAGAGCCAGGCTACTCTGTGGGAATATGTTCTTTCTGAGAAATAATGGTAGACTTAATCAATATTTTTCACTGTTTCCCTTAACATACTTAAATAAAACAATTAAATGGGAAAAATTCTAATTCAATTAGCCTTCAACCCCTTCCACTGAGAAAATGATTTCACAAAGGAGAAATATTAGAACAACCGCACCAAGATTTTAATGTTTTATGAGTTACCCAGATGGCAAAGCATATATTTACAAGATATAGCCAATCTGAGATTAGTTTTGTTCCTATATAAGTCTAAAATGTCAAGAATAAAAAATAGATACAAAACAAAAAGACATGTATATTACTAGTTATACGGAAATGATGCTATCTGTGTGTGTAGGGGAGAATTTAATTTTTTTTAAACTGACATGGCTTGGGAATGAGTTTTCTATGGGAAAAAAATATTCCTTAGCTGCTGCCCCATTCATCCATAAATTTGATGTCATGGCTAAGGTTAAATATCAACTAGAAAAATAATAGTTTTAGAAAATAAGTTAGGTCACAAACCTAGAAGACTCAAATTTTTAACATTTCTCAATGTACCGTTACCAAAAAGGAACCGGTGTGTCAATGATTTCCCATATTATTGGTAGCTATTTTCTCCTTGTAACAATCCTTATATATCAGTATAGTGGGTTGCCTGTAATTGTGAAAGCTAAGTGGTACACAAAACTGGATACACAACCACACAGACCAGTAAATGGGTCGGACTGAAAGCAAAAGTAAACATCAACCTTAGGAAATGAAAGAAGTTAAAAGATAAGTGTTAAGGACCTTATTCTTTTTGGAGAATAAAACAAGATTTAGTAGCTTTCCACTTAATTTAAATGAAAAGAATCACTACCTTACATATTGCAGTGATAATGTAATGGGGAAAGAAAACAAAAAAGTCTTTGTACAAATGACACCTCCTATAGTTGTTGTGAAGAAACTTTTCCCCTTGGTATCTGCTAGCAAATTCTAATTAATGCTGCACATTCCTTTACTGAAATCATTTAATGCGTAACAAGGGGGGTAAAAAGAAATGCTGAATGCTCGTGATTGCCCTGTTAGAATTATGGGAGTGAAAGCCTGGGGCCCCAAACTTACTGTCTATTAAAGCCAAGCTTTGAAAAAGAAATGCAACCTACAAAAGCTGTCAATCTCCCTTGCCCCTAAAGCCTGGGTTCACATGGATTCAAGTGACAGCCCTCCTCCCCCATGCACAATACATCAATCTGTCTCTCCCACAAGCACCCACAGCCCATTGTGCTGGCCGCAGGTGCCTATTATGGCACCCATGGCTGCCTCCCACAGCTCCGCCCCTGAGAAACAGGAACTGCAGACAATGGAACCCTGTGGGAAGACAGAGGTGGGTGTTGGGAGGGATAACAGACAGATGGTAAAGGGTATAGGGTAGTAAGGTAGTTTCAAAACAAATGTCAAACATTCAAAATTATTGCCTTCGCAAGTCCCCCCCCCCTCGAAGTTCTGAATTGCCTTTGCTTCAATCACCATCTGCCATAATTATAAAAACACTTACCTGTTAGGATGAGTATTTGCTCCCTTTTTTGGGTAACGATGGAGGGGACGATCTTCAATACTCTGCTGTTCCTCTAGGTTTCTCAAGGTCACAGACTGAGGAGTTTTAGTTAAGGGACACCAGTAGACCATACAGGGAAAGAAAATAATATTTCTAATTTCAAAAAGAAGGTTTGTGATTTCCTTTTGAGCATAATTTTGGACTGGGTAAGGTGATAAGGGTTATAAAAACTAGTTACTTTGGATAATATATTAGCAAAATCAAAGTATTATGAAACTTCCTATAAATACCATACCAAGCAGATGGAAAATTTTAGGCCATTTCTTTACTGGCAAGGAGATACAAAAAGGGAAATGAGATGGATTCGATAATCAAAGTACTGAAGGTCTCTGACAGCCTCTTTTCCTATTCTAAAAAGCGTCAAAAAATAAACAAAATTGTAAAAATTTCTAAATGATATGCACATTAAGTACCATCATTGGGAAAAGTACAGTTTAAGCATTTCATTCTGTAAAATGTCACTTTCTACAGTATTTTTATCTTTTGAGTTCTGGACTAAGAAGCAACAAGTATAAGAGTTAAAATATGTACCAAAACACATGTATGTATTAATTCAAACAATTTGATTCAGTTGCTTTTGATCTTACCTGGCCATCTCAATATACCACCTATTTCTGTTTTCAAGATAATTTTTCATAAATCAAAGCCAAATTAATAATAATTTTATCGCTAGTATTACTACCTGTCTCCAAAACAAAGTGGCTAAGAAAAATCTGGCACAAGTGTAAGTCATGGTCAAGACAATCGTTGACTTGTTAAGATGCCACAGAATAATGCCAGGGACTAAAACCAGCCAGTTTTCCTGGAGCAAACAAGAGGGTCTTGGTTTGCTGTCAAAAACCACAAACTAGGCTTTAACTAGGAACTGTCAGAGATCCAAGGGAGCTCCTGGCCAGGGAGAGCTTAATTAGCAGAGTTGGTTTGGGTTTTTAAATTACACACACACACACACACACACACACACACACACACACACACACAAACAATCAATACAGTATGAAAGCATACAGTGGTCTAATGTAGCACAAAATTCATCATTTCATTGTGTGGGGGTGTAGTTATTTTGCACACATCACT